TGCATCTATATATTGTGTTAATAAACTCCTCAGTTCCTGTGTGCTTGTTAGGATTTAACAAATCTATATTGAAGTCACCACATATGAACATTAATTTATGACTTATTGTCAAGTAATTTTCTTCCATCCAGTCATTAAATTTTTCTATGCTGGCTCCAGGTGCTCTATAAATACAGCTTATTACAACATTTTTCTTTTTTTCCAAAAGTAGTTCTACAGTCACACACTCCAGCAAATTATCCACCACCCTTGACATTTTCTCCACTTTCTTATAACAAAAGTTTTTATCTATGTACAAGGCCACACCACCTCCCATCTTATTCTCTCTGTTTGTGCATACCAAGTCATAGCCATCAAGGTCAAAATCCATTCCCCTTACATTATTAATCCATGTTTCAGAAATAGCAATTATATTAAAAGCATGTGTAAGACTACTAAGATAATGTTTTATACTTTGAAAGTTTGCGTATAAACTTCTGCTATTGAAGTGAATTAATGATAATTTGTTTTCAGTCTTGACATTGCTGTTAAACTGCTCATCCGTGTAATACTTGCAGTTATTTTCAGAATACTTAAAAAAGTTTTTTTCAGGGTCAAAATCATTGTCTGATTCATGATAATGTTGTTCAGTGTCTCCAATTGTGTTCAATTCCAGATCCAGTCCCTCAAAAACTATTAACCTCTGTAGCAAATCAAATCAAATGTGCTGGTCATGGGTCCTGGATTCTGGTTCCGAGATCGGGTCACTAGTCGGTCATACCGCAGGAACGCGATGTCTCCCCTCGCCCTGGCCTCCCTTAACATCGGCATCAACTCCCTTCTTCTCTTCCTCACAAACTCGGTGTAATCTTCATTTATATAAATATTAGATCCTTTAAGCTTCTTTGCTTGTTGCAGTATGTGTGCCTTATCTTTCTCTTTCATCAACTTTACCATCATCGCCCTTGGTCCCCAATCAGAAGGTTTCCTGACTCTGTGAGCCCGCTCCATCTCAATTTGGCTGCTTTAATCACATCCACATCTCGCTGGGTAAACTGCAAACTCGTTTTTATCTCCTGTATTTCTCTGGTCATGTCGTCAAGTCTCTTGTTATTTGACTCCATAAGTAGTTGCACAAAACCTTTGAAGTTGTCTTGTTGTTGGCTCAACAGTGCGGTGTACATCTGCTTCTGCTGACTCAACATCTCTGTTACTTGCGCCGCTGAAATATAATCCTCTTCTGCTTCAACAACCTCGTTCGCTTCTGATTTATTAGCTCTTTTCCCTCTTGGAGGCATTTTAATAGTTGTAGAATTTGTTCAAAGACTTGAAAATGTAGAAGATGTGAAAAATCGTAGAACAGACAAGAGGAGCAGTAAACGTCTGCCGAGTTAACAAATGAGGGGACAAGTAAGAAGGAGGGAAGACAGAAGAGAAGAAAGACTTGAGGGATTTGATCCCCTGATTATGTGAGACTACTATAGAGAGGATCAGAGATTACATAATGTCTACATGAACACCTGCTGTTGAGATGTGGTTCCAGTATTTCTTGAATCTGCTCTGGGAATCTTCTCCACAGACGGCGGCCTGGTGAATCAGATCGACCCTCTCGACACTCAAAGATGGACAGCAGCTCCTGCAGTGCACATGAAAGCACACAGGCCACAGAAGGTGATAAGTTGTTGGATGAGAAAGTGAGCTTACACATGTCTCTGTGTATACATGTGTGTACCTGAATTGCATAAGCAGCTGAATCCTGCGCTCTCACATCATCAGCATAAGCCAGAAATGTTCTGGTCAGTTCAGTCAATACGTCGTAGGCAAAGTTAGGATCATCAACCCCACTCTGACACATAGAAAACAAACATTTGTGCTTCGTTTGTTACAGTCCTTGTTACATTTTTGGGAAAACAACTGTAATCCTGCAAACAATTGTTAAACAGTGCAGTAATCTGAGCTCATTTCATCAACAGTGCGGTGTACATCTGCTTCTGCTGACTCAACATCTCTGTTACTTGCGCCGCTGAAATATAATCCTCTTCTGCCTCAACATCCTTGTTCGCTTCTGATTTATTAGCTCTTTTCCCTCTTGGAGGCATTTTAATAGTTGCAGAATTCGTTCAAAGACTTGAAAATGTAGAAGATGTGAAAAATCATAGAACAGACAAGAGGAGCAGTAAATGTCTGCTCTCCCTTGCAACCCGGAAGGAATTGCAAGTATATTGCGAGTATAATTCATTCCGGCAATGTGTTTGTAATCCAAAGCAATCGTATATCAAAGCGAATTTCCCCATAAGAAATAATGGAAATTCAGATCATTCATTCCACAACCACTTATTCATACAAAAATGATTACCATAATACAAAATACAGTATAAAGTAAAAATAAAACAAATTAACCTGCCCTTTACCTTTGAAAAGAATCATGGCTGGTGTGAGCTAGACAGAGAGAAGAGCTATCTGTTGGCTCGCTAAAATCTTTTTCTTTTTTGTGCTACTTTAACAAGGAAGCTATCCAATGACACTTGCTTTTGCCTCCTTTTAAGGATTTGGCGGAAATGTGGCATTGCTTTGTCATTAAACAGATTTATTGTTTGCACTGCTACATCCTTATTCGGGTGGTGCTTTTCCACAAAATTTTGCACCATTTCCCACATTTTACACATCTCTCTTATAAAATCTTGCAATGTCGGCCACTCGCATACCTCGTTCATGCCTCTCGATTTCCTTTTTAACTTCCACCATAATCACCTCCTTTTTCTTACCACCTTTCTTTTCAACCTTTATCTTTTCTTCATCTTCTTTCTTCGTCTCCTGTGTTTGAACATTTTTATGGCTGCTTGAAGCTACATTTAGACATGCTTCTCTCAAGCCTCTTTGATATCACTTTTGTTATTTAGCAAGTATTCAAGGATTAACTAATAAGATTTTATTTGTACACCTGACAGTGGCCCAGTAGTTTTGATTTCATGCATTGTAGCTTACTGTCACCTTACTGAGTTTATACAGCACAGGCAAATAATCTTATGACCTTCCTAATTCTGAAGGATAAGAATAGATTATATTGGGTTTAGTAAGCTACACAGAAGCAGTCCATCATCCTCTCTAGATACTGCAAACAATAGTGCAATTAAAATGTAGCCAATGTCCTTATAAGTCAGGTCATGCTGCTTTAATCTCCACTATAAGATTCTTCTGTCTAGTCTCAGTTATTGTAATATGGGCTAAAAGAAAAAAAAAACATGCACAAACGTCATACCTGCTGTTCTTGCCACTGGATCCTTCTGTTGGATGCATTTCTCTTTTGGATCTGAAAGGAGAAAAATATTATGGAATTTTATGCAAGAATTGTACAGTGATTGGGAGCAACAAAACAAAGTTTGGTAAATTTTGAAATTACTGGGGGAAGCCAGTCAGGTGTCATGGTCAATATAATTTGACTTTTTTGATAAAAAAAAAATTACAAAAAAACTGTCAAAGTGAAAACAGGTTTCTACAAAGTAATGTCATTTAAATGAAAATAGGTAATGGCAAATAAGAAATTGCATAAATATTTACCCCTTCAAGTCAGTAATTAGTAGATACGCCTTTGGCTGTGTCTGTGCGGATAGGGCTCAATCAGTCTTGCATATCTGGACACTGCAATTTTACTCCATTCTTCTTTGCAAAACTGCCCAAGCTTTGCCAGGTTGCACGGGGATCAGGCGTGAACAGCCCTTTTCAAGTCCAGCCACAAATTCTCTCATGGATTGAGGTCTGGGCTTTGACTCGCTCCAGAACACTCACCTTGTTGTCTTGAAACCATTTCTGTGTAGCTTTTGCTGTATGCTTCGGGTCATTGTCTTGCTGGAAAATAGATCTTCTTCCAAGCCGTAGTTCTCTTGCAGACTGAATAAGATTGTCCTCCAGGATTCTCCTATATTTTGCCAGATTCATTTTACCCTCTACCTTTACAAGCCTTCCAGGGCTGGCTACTGAGAAGCATCCCCACAGCACAATGCTGCCACCACCGTGCTTCACAGTGGAAATGGTGTGTTTATGGTTATGTGCAGTGTTTGGTGTCCACCAAACATAACGTCTTGTCTGATGGCCAAAAAGAACCATTTTGGTTTTATCAGACCAAAGAACTTCCTTCCACTTGACCACGGAGTCTCCCACATGCATTTTGGCAAACTCAGGTAAAGATTTAATATGAGTTTTCTTCAACAGTGGCTTTCTCTTTGCCACTCTCCTGTAAAGCTTTGACTGGTGAAAACCCTGGGCAACAGTCGTTGTTTGCAGAGTCTCTCCCATCTCAGCTGCTGAAGCTTGTAAGTCCTTGTAGTCATAGGTGTCTTGGTGGCCTCTCTCACTGCTCTCCTTCTTGCACGGTCACTCAGTTTGAGGATGGCCTGATCTAGGCAGATTTAGACATGTGCCATATTCTTTCCATTTCTTGATGATAGGTTTAACTGAACTCTGGGGGATGTTCAGTGCCTTGGAAATTTTTTTGTATCTATCCCCTGACTTTTCAGTAATCTTGTCTCTGAGTTGCTCGGAGTGTTCTTTTGTCTTCATTGTGTAATGGTAGCCAGGAATACTGATTAACCAGTGACTGGACCTTCCAGACACATGTGTCTGTAGTATAAAGACATGTGTCTTTATACTACAATCACTTGAGACACGTTCACTGCACTCTGGTGATCCCCGTTTTACTAACTGTGAGAGTACTAGCACAAATTGGTGAAACTTTGTTGAATTTGGTCAGTCATTTTAAAGAGAGTGAATATTTATGCAATCACTTATTTGCCATTACATATTTTCATTTAATTGACATTAATTTGTAGAAACCTGTTTTCACTTTGATATTAAAGAGTTGTTTTTGTATTTTTTTTTGTCAAAAAAGCCAATTTACTGTATATTGACCATGATTGATTTATAATATCAATAAAAGGGTAAAACATCCAAGGGGGTGAATGCTTTTTATAGGCACTGTATATTTCATCTGTACTGTATATGTGAAGTCACAATCAAATAATTTTAACACAAGTAAAAGTCTGGTTATCTCAGCATCACTACTTCTAGTATTTGTGTTTAACAAGGAAAGATATCAAATAGAAGATAAATAAAGTAACATCACTTTCTGGCCTATGTGATATTTTTATTGTAAATTTTGTGTTTGAGGTAATTTTTTTGTTAATTAATTCAATGCACTGAACACACACTGGGCTTAGAGCACATTTGTGCTCCAGGGCCTTTTTGCAGGCCAGTGCAGCCTTGCTTTTTTGCACTGTAGTTGTTTGAGTCTTCTGTGATTGAAAATATCTGTTACATTCTGCCTTTATTAGCAGATATTTTGCCAGTCATTCAGAATCAGAATCACAATCAGAATCCACTTTATTGGCCAGGTATGTCAGACACACGAGGACTTTGACTCTGGTACGGTACATTGACTCTCAATGTGCATGTACATATCCCCATGCAAGGGGCAAGTAAACAGTAAACCAACATAAGGCTGACGAGATAAATAGAGAATAAAGATAGAGTACTTAAAAATAGAGACCTGTACAGATCCATATAATTTGTACAATGTATATTTACAGGTATTGCACTGAGGGTTAATGTCCAGTCATACTGTTGTGGGTCAAGTGTTCATCAGAGTGACAGCCTGGGGGAAGAAACTGTCCTTGTGCCTGGTTGTCTCGGCATACACTGACCTATAATGCCGTCCAAAGGGGAGGAGTTCAAACAGATTATGTCCTGGGTGTGAGGGGTATGCAGTGATCCTCTCCACCCTCCTTTTGACCCGTGAGGTGTACAGGTCCTCCATGGAGGGCAGGCTTGCACCAATGACCTTTTCTGCAGTCCTGACTGTCCACTGAAGTTTGTTCTTGTCCTGTTTGTCCTGAGCAAAACCAGACAGTGATGGAGGTGCAGAAAACACACTTTATGATTCCTCTGTAGAACTGTATCAGCAGCTCCTGAGGCAGGTCAAACGTCCTGAGCTAGCACAGGAAGTACATTCTCTGCTGTGCCTTCTTGATGATGGTCCTGATGTTGGACATCCACTTTAGGTCCTGGGAGATAGTGGAGCCCAGGAACTTGTAGGATTTTACTGCTGATAAAGTGCTGCCAAGTATGGTGAGGGGGGTAAGGCTCTCCACTGTTTTGAGCATGTTCAGCTCCAGGTTGTTGCGACTACACCACAGGACCAGCTGCTCAACCTCCCATTTGTACGCTGACTTGTCACCGTCTCGGATGAGACCAATGACTGTTGTATCATCAGCAAACTTTAGGAGCTTGACAGAGGGGTCCTTCGAGATGCAGTCGTTGGTGTAGAGTGAAAACAGCAAAGGGGAGAGCACACATCCCTGGGGGGCGTCTGTGCTTATTGTCCGGGTGCCGGATGTGGTTTTCTCCAGCCTCACCTGCTGCTTCCTGTCTATCAGAAAACTGGTGATCCACTGACAGGTCAGGGCAGGCACAGTGAGCTGGGTCAGTTTGGAGGGGAGGATGTCCGGTATGATGGTGTTGAAGGCTGAGCTAAAGTCCACAAAAGAGGACCCGTGCATAGATCCCTGGGGAGTCAAGGTGTTGCAGGATGTAAAGCAGTGCCATGTTAACTGCATCATCCACTGGCCTGTTTACCCGGTAGGTGAACTGCAGGGGGTCTAGCAGGGGGTCAACAATGTCCTTCAAGTGGGCCAACCTCCATCTTTTGAAGGACTTCATAACTACAAATGTCAAGGCAACAGGTCTGTAGTCGTTCAGTCCACCGATAGAGGGTTTTTTGAGGACTGGGATGATGGTGGAGCGTTTGAAGTTGGAGGGGTCTTCACACAGCTCCAGTGACCTGTTGAAGATAAGTGTGAAGATGGGGCTCAGCTGATCAGCACAAACTTTCAGGCAGGAGGGGGTCACGCCATCTGAGCCTGGTCACTGTGTTCCTGCCTGGATGTACAGAGTCCATCTTTAGCACAATGAAGCTGCTTGAGTCTGGCTGTGAACCAGGGCTTCTTGTTGTTGTATGTACAGAAGGACTTTTTGGGCACACACATATCCTCACAAAAGCTGATGTAGGATATCACAATGTCAGTGAGTTCATCTAGTTCTGTAGCTGCAGCCTCAAATACACCCCGATCTGTACAGTCGAACCAGGCCTGTAGCTCTGACTTAGCCTGCTTTGTCCAGCTCTTCACTATTCGAAACTTTACGTTTCTGCCTATAGGTTGGAATAAGATGGACCATACAGTGATCAGAGAGCTCAAGGGCTACATGGGGCACAAAGTCATCTTCAATTGTTGTGTAGCAGTTGTCCAGTGTGATTTTGTCCCTGGTGGGACAAGTGATGTGCTGTCTGTATTTGGGCAGTTCGTGAGTGAGATTTGCTCTGTTAAAGTCCCCTAGAATAATAAGTAGAGAGTCGAGATGTTCTAGCTCTAGGCTAGTTATCAGTTCTGCTAGGAGCTGTAGTGTGCTAGCATGGGCCTGTGGCTTTAAATAGACACCCACCAGGATGAAGCTCGAAAATTCTCGTGGAGAATAGACAGCCTGTGGTCTTATATACACTCCAATTAGATTGAAAGAGTTAAATTCTCGGAGATAATAAAAAGGTTTGCAATTGAGAACAAGAGTCGCTAAGTCTGTGTTACATGTCCTCTGTAACACCATGACATCAGTGCACCAACCTTCATTTATGTAGAGACAGATTCCATCTCCTCTCTTTTTCCCAGATAGCTCCGTTACACAATCCGCTCTGTACACCTGGAAGCCCGGTACTTGGGTTGTGCTGTCCGCAATGGAGTCGCTGAGCCAGGTCTTCGTGAAGCACAAAGCAGCAGAGCGTGTAAAGTCAGAGTTGGTCCTGTTGACAAGAAGGAGTTCATCAATCTTGTTGACCAGGGAGCGGACATTTGCTAGGTGGACAGATGGGAGTAGAGTCCGTGCCCCTCTCTGGTGTAGCCTCACCAAGGTGCCAACTCGTTTGCCATGCCAGCGTTTCTTCCAGGTCCCATATATGGCAGCTGCGCCTCCAATCAGAATGTCCATACAGCATTGTTCGTTCACAAAAATTGGAGAAAGGTAGTTCAGTGTGAGTTGTCTGATACATAACAGTTCTTCTCTGGTAAAAGTAATCCAGGATGGGTTGCGAAAGACCGAGAAAACAAAGAACAACAACAAACACAGGAGAGCGCGAGTAACCAAGGCTGCCATCACTGTTGGCGCCATCTTAGCTTACATTCTAACACTGAAGACCAACTGAAAGCAAATAAATTGTGCAACATCGCCTCCACCATTTCTTGCAAGC